TGAATAAACTAAACTAACTAAAGATGTAAGGTATCCGTACACATGCGGCTGCAGGTCAGACTGGTCTGTAAGAGTCTGACCATTCAGGGAGGTCATCAATGAAACTAAACCAGTTGTAAATCAAATAGAGAGGAAATAAAAAGCAGCAGCACAGAGGAGAAATGATCAGGCTGTGGGTTAAAAGAGGAGCTGCAGAGATCTGAACAAACTGCAGTCAAGAGTCCAGCCTGACTCCCATTAACCACACACAGATCCAGCTAAGATTAAACAAATCTGTCCTTAATGAAACTGAAAACCTGAACGTCCAGGACAAAACTAACAACCCAAACATTCATGTGTTAGAATGGTCCAAAGTCCTGACCCAACTGTGTGAGGCTTGAACTGCTGCTCTGCACTCACACTGAGCTGGAACCATTTTATACACAAGAGTGGGCAAAAGTTTTGGTCTCTGTGCAAAGCTGTTACAACGTACTGACTCAGGGGAACTGAAAACAAATGCATGCCATATTTTAGATTTAATAAATGAATAAAAATAAAAATTGAAAACCTTTATCATTTTGTTTATTATATAAAATCCAGGTAAAATAGTTGTGAATGTAACGCGTGAATACTGCCGGGCACTTCTGAGCCACTGCTTCAAGTTTATGTTTCTCTAATAAAATGTCTGATTTCTAGTTTATGTTTTAGGTGACATTAGAATTAATAACTGTTAATCTGCTGAAAGAGAACATTTAACTTGTCTTTTCACTTTGTTCAAACTCCATCATCCTGACTGTGCTTCCAAAAACTTCATGCTTTTCTGAAAAATGTCTAAACCATTTGTTTCACTTTAAAAAGAAACTGCGAAACCCCTTTAAAAAGAAAAAAWAAATAAAGATTTGACAGGGTAAAGGTACAGATTTTATTACTGAAAATGTTCTCAAGTCCATCAACATAAAAACAAAAACCACAGCAGTGTGCTCAGAGCACTGATGAGACCCACGGCTCACACCAGCAGTGACAGGGGGCAACAGTTCGTCCAATAGGGACGCAGTATCTGTCTCTGGTACCAGGACTGAGGACGTCCCACCTGTGAATACTACTTTCATCTTGGCACAGATGGTCTCCAGATTCTTTTCTGTTAAACAAAGGAGGGGCGAAGATTCTTCAACCAATCAGCTTCCAGGAAGTCTAATAACAATGTCAATATTTTAAAAAATGGTGGAACAGGATCAAAGAAAAGAAAACATAAAACCAGAGGGGAAGTTGAACATTTTACAGTCAATAAATAGTCCCACACACACACACGCACATACACACACGCACACACACACCCTCACACCGGTTCCAGCTGTTATAATTCATCAGGCGGAGTCTTCTTTGTAGGTTCTGTAAATAAGAGAATAAAAAGCAAGTCAACTCCAGGTAATAGCAAATCAACTCTAGGTAATAGTAAATCAAGTCCAGGTAAAAGCAAATCAACTCAGGGTATCAACTCCGGTTAATAGAAAATCAGCTTTAGATAATAACACAGTAACTCCAGGTTTTAACAGATCAACTCCAGGTAACACCAGGTCTGCTCAAGGTAACAACAGATCTACTCTAGGTAACACCAGGTCTACTCTAAGTAACACCAGATAAACTCTAGCTAACACCAGATAAACTCTAGCTAACACCAGATAAACTCTAGCTAACACCAGATAAACTCTAGCTAACACCAGGTCTACTCTAAGNTAGGTAACACCAGGTCTACTCTAGGTAACACCAGGTCTACTCTTAGTAACACCAGGTCTACTCTAAGTAACACCAGGTCTACTCTAAGTAACACCAGGTCTACTCTAGGTAACACCAGATCTGCTCTAGGTAACACCAGTTCTACTCTAGGTGACACAAGGTTAACTCTAGGTAACAACAGGTCTACTCTAGGTAACAACAGATCAACTCTAGGTAACAACAGATCAACTCTAGGTAACAACAGATCAACTCTAGGTAACAACAGATTAACTCTAGGTAACAACAGATTAACTCTAGGTAACACCAAATCTACTCCAGGTAACACCAGGTTTACTCTAGGTAACAACAGATCAACTCTAGGTAACAACAGATCAAATCTAGGTAACAACAAATCAACTCTAGGTAACAACAGATTAACCCTAAGTTATAACAGATTAACTCTAGGTAACATATAATAGATAAACTCTTACAGGTTCTTTAACATTTGTTGGAAATGTTCAGTTTTCCACTGACATCTTGAACCAAAGCAGGATTGATGCATGGCCCTAATCATTCTGGATGGTGTGTTGGTCTCACACATTAGCTATGTTTACATGCGCACAATTCTTTGATCGGATTGAAATGTATTCGGATTAAATAATCGGAATGTATCGTTTACATGCGCACAATCCGATAATGACGAGTGTTTACAGGCACCGGGCTTTTATTCTGAATAGAAGCACTGACATGCACAGTTGCTAAATTTCCCTTAAAAAGAAAAAAAAAAATAGAAAAAAGTTCTACTTCCGTGATGAACATAAACAACCAGCTTCTGAGCTCAGAATGGACCTGCGACAGATTTTAATAACAGTGGAGACGTTACTGCACACCCTGGTTCAGCTGCAAGGGACGCACAGACTTTTTATTTATTTATTTTTATTTATTTATTTTTTTCCGAAGCGGCGCAGGCTGTGTCTTTCTGCTTGAATGAGAAAACGGGAGGAAGAGCTGTTTGCTGGAAACAGTGAAAGTCAGCAGACATGCGCAGTCAGGTCAGTTTTCCACAAACAGAATAAAATAATCAGATCAAGTGTTTACATGCACGCTGTTCGGATTATCAATCGGCATAAACCACCTCTCTTAATCCAATTACAAATTCACTCGGATCAAGCTGAAACGGGTCAGAAAATACCAATGGGTTGTTTACATGACGCATTTTTATTCCGAATGGCCGTTTAATCCGCTTACTTATGTCCATGTAAACGTAGCTACTGACCTGCAGTTCTCGTTGCCTCAGTGGGCTCTGACTGGTTTTCAGAATCTGGATGTAAAGTGCTCTCTTCAGTGGGAGGGGGGTCATGTGACTGCTCTTCAGTCTGGTCTATTCCTGGAGACACACATGCAATACAAACTGTAAAAAACATGAGGCCTGGATCAGAATCACTCATACTCTGCAGGGGACTCACCACTGTCCGAGTCCACGTGTTCCTCTGTGGGAGGTGGATCTGAGTTCTCGTGGCTCTCTTTGGAAGGTAGGTCTTTTTCCTCAGCTGTGCTGTTGGCCTTGCTYCTTTTCTCGGAGCTCGTAGCATTCTTGACTTTCTTCGGCTTAGCAAACTTGGCTTTGTTGAGCAAGTAGTTGATCTCTCGGTCCAACAGAGCCAGCTTTGACTCGATGTCTTTGGACAACAGGACCGGCTTCTCTTTAGGCGATCGCTTGTCTTGCTCTGCCACCGTCTCATTCTTCCACAGCTGCAGACAAAACAAAGAGCATTATGGGAAAGACAGCACCCATGTGAAAAGCATTGTGTGATTTCTGTGGACGTCAGGGCAATTAGCTCCAACTGATCAGTGATGATCAGTTGGAGCGAGATGATGAAAAATTAAACACCTACTGTTGTTTCATTGATGATCTTCTCCAGCATATTTAACTCAACTTCAGTAAAGATCTGGTCGTCCTCTGGAATCAGTTTGGCACTCCTTTGGAAGAGGAAGAACAGTCAACATGCCGGTCCACCTTAATTCCTCCAAACATCCTGCTGTTCACTCACCTCAAGAAGAACGACGAGGTGTTCAGCAGGTTGTTGAGGGCAGCCAGGCGCTCTGGCCACTTCCGTCGCTCCTCCACCCTAAAGAACATGTCCTTACACAGGCTCTTGATCTGAGACAGCTTCTCTCTCAGCTGCTTAGTGGTGGCAGTGTAGCCTTCCTCATCCATCCACTCTGATGCTTCCCTCAGTTTGGCTAAGATCTGCTCCTTCTCCTCCTCAGAAACCACCAGCTGGTAATCCTCCTGGTACAGTTTGTCCTGCAGACACAAAAAAATACAAATTTTCACAGCACGAACTTTGTTTAGGACAGATTTTTAAAACTAGTCAAACTGATCTTCACACAAAATATTTCTCATATTGACAAACCGAACATTCATTTTGTACCTGTTTTGTACTCACATTAACCTGTTTGTACCCTTTTAACAGTTTTTTTTTTAGAAAAGGGGGTGTCTGCAGTCACTAAGTGGGGAGGAGTTTGTCCAAGACATGATTGGTCTGTTTGACTTTAGTTGGAGGAGTTTAAGGTGTGATGGGGTGAACTGACTATTTTGGATGGGGTTTGAAGAACACTGGGCAGCTGGGGGTCAAAACTGCCAGAAAGCGCATACATTTTTAAATATTAATATAAATATAAATGATGTATTTACACCAGGAAAGTCCTTTGCTCCACTTGTTTCTTCTGGACCAAATAACTTTTTTTTTCTTTGGTGTGGATTGCATTCACATTGTGCATTTTGTAAGTGGACTATAATTTATAAAACAAAGCCACACAGATGACGGTCACTAATCCCATTGGACAGAAATTATGCTGGCAAGACAGAGCACAGACCCAGAAATAAAGATGGTGATGTGAACACAACGGACTATAAAGAACATAGTTATGGAATAATTATGTATATCTGTTCTTCCTTGACACTGTCCAGTAATCATATCTCATGATAACTAGTTTCGGCTGTTTTAATCTATCGGCCCAGACTTCAAGACTCCAGCAATGCATGACCTCTTTTATTTTGATAAGGTGTTTCTGGGCTGACAGCCCTGTCATTGGTTAGATGGTTCACAGTTGGCGAACTGTGATTGGTTGTAAGCATGTCACAGGATGTTATATTATCGGCTGCTCTGCGCTGACGAGCCAGCCACAACTTGACAGACTTCTCTGACTTCTGCTCTGTTGTTGCTCAAATTAAATCATTTGACGACCATACACGCAGACTTTCTGTGCATTTATTCCAACGTGTTTCTGCATTCTTGGTAAATCGTGCCACCACAACATCAATAACAGCCCATTCAGTGGTGGTTTTGCYATTATATACTTGTAATTTTGGGACTGTGTTGTCAAATGTGTGCCACAACCTAAAAGAGACTAGATGCTCTGCATTCCCTGACCCACAACGGCTCARTTTTGTAGTAGTGTTAGCAACWCTAAAAGGTTAATATTGCTTAGCAATGGTGGCATGCTTCCTGTTGTTGGGTCGGTTCGAGGCCGGTCTGTTTTCACACCAGAGTTTGTTAGGAAGCTGACCAAGTCCACCTCAAAAGTGGGTCCCGGTTCAGTTGTTTGATCCACACCAGGGTTCGCACGAGTGTATTCACACCTGCATAAAAGGTCCGGACCAACGGGGGAAATGAACTCTGGTCCGTTTAAAGTGGACCAAATGTGTCAGGTATGAGTTCAGCCTGATTAGTCGTAAGTTGAGACAGGAAGGTGCTAACCGCACAAAATTTAAACATCGTACATGTGGAGAGATGTGTAACTAGCAGTGGTGGGCAGCGCTAATCCAAAATTTAGGTCCACAACCTCAATAGCGCTTATGCCATAGAAAAACTAGCAGAAGCTAATTTTAAAGCGCAAGTTCAATTTGACACTTACTAGCTGGCAACATTCATGTACAATATATGCACAACACTGCCAACTAGCTGTGTATGAACCCTTTTACAACTTAATCCTACAACCGCCGATTGCTGGGGATGTGATTTCCTGAAATAGACCTTTAGCTCCTGGTGTAAAAATTAAAAAGTTGTGGAGGATTGCTAGCTCGGATGCTTCTTTGTCTTTTTCTTTTGTTTGTTGTAGATTTTTCATTAAAGAAGCATCAATAAAGTAATTTTAAAACTATTTTTTGGAAAACTGAAGCGATGCATTCTGGGTACATGTCGGATTTGATTTGTGACGGGAAACGAAAGCATGGAGTATGGGAAACTATCTTCCCTTCAAAATAAGAGCCTGGATTTTAAAGTTTTCCATGTAGTTGCTCCAGTTGACCACTAGATGTCTGTCTTCATCAGCATAACATCTTTAAATCATTTCTGAGTCTCTAACCCCGTTGGCCGATTGCTTCGACCAGTTATGACAWGTATTGAGCTCCAGCATTTAAACTTTTTTTTTTGAAAAAGGAGTTCTGATTGTAAAACAAAATAAATCAATACATACAAAATTTTAGTATGGATTATAAACGTCATCTGTTTTTGCTGGGACAGGGAGTTCTAAACACTGCCTTCCTGCTACGTAAGCAGACACAAAGCATTGTGGGAAATCTGAACCGTGACCCAAAGCAACAGTCAGCAGGATGTATACCTTTCCAATAATTGTGTTTATCTGGGAGGGGTGCTGCTGGATAGATCATGTGTGTTGTGATTCATTGACAGCTGTACCTTCCGCTGTTCAAGATATTGATGACTGGTAGATAATTAGTTATTAGCAGTACTGCATTTTAATTTTAGAAAGCACAAATCCGCTTAAGAATTATAAAAATTAGTAAGACAGCTAAAGCACAAATGAAATATTTAGGTCCGCAATTAGCGGATTTGCACTTTAGCGGGCTGGTGCCCACCACTGGTAACTAGTGTAACTGGGGCGGCTGTGGRGGAGWGGTTAGGGGAGTCGTCCTGGAATCGGAAGGTTGCCGGTTTGAGCCCCCGTCCAGCCGTTTCAGTCATTGTGTCCTTGGGCAAGACACTTTACCTACCTTGCCTAGTGATAGTGGTCAGAGGGTCCGGTGGCACCGGTGCACGGCAGCCCCACCTCTGTCAGTGTGCCCCAGGGCAGCTGTGGCTACAGTGTGTGAATGAGTGTGAGAGTAAAGTGCTTTGGGGTCTGGAGGGACTTGATAAAGCACTATATAAGTTCAGTCCATTTACCATTTAACTATTTGGCTCAGTCAGAACAGCCATAACCTGCCTGGAAAGAGATCAACATTTTTTATGTACTTGGAACAGGAAGGTGCTAACAGCAGGAAATCTGAGGCCAGTAAAATTATTGTGAACATGTAAGATTTATTACCAAATACTTCATCTATTAATTTGCCCCACAGGACAAGTCAACCCGACCAATCACTGTTTTGCAAAACTCCGTCCACATACCAACTCTGCCAACTACAGCGGTTAGGATGAACTCCGCCCCCACACACAAGAAACTCCCCTCTGTATTGAAGAGACCCCTGCTTGGTTCTGTACCCGCCTCATACTCATCTTAGCCTGCTTTGTTCCTGCCTCAGTCACCTTCATGCCTGTCTCATACCTGCTTTGTACTCACCTTTGCTGCCACTGCAGCATATTTGTTTAGAGTACAGTGATGAATCAAGTGCCTAAACCTGCTAACCTTCATCAACATGATTAGACCTGAACACTGGAGGCTGTAAACCTGAATGTTCTAATTCGCTCTGAATCACAAGAAAATTAATTTTAAATGCAGTTCTAATTAAATCAGGATTTGAGCTTTTAAAATATTAAGCTAATAGGTGTGAAAACACAAAAGGGACAGATTGTACTTTCTTTGTATTTCTGACGAGCACAGTATTTCATCAATACACGTTTACTACACAGTGTTTTATACAGTATAAAAGAGCTATTACTTTGATTTAGTACATTGTAGTTACAATTTTACTAATGTTTTAGCCTGGCCCTTGRCTTCCTACACAGTTCCGCTCWACYAAACAAAGCGAAGAACAGGGGGCTAGTTTTTTACCAGCCTACTAATGTCTGGTTTATTAATGAGTCATGTAACTGATCAGTTTTTTTAAATGTATTTTCTACTTCCATCTTCTAGCTGTACTCAAGCATATCAGCTCATTAAAGACGATCCTGCTGCAGCTTTTTTTCTGACAAGTTTGATAAACTGGACACGTAAAACACGAAACCTTTTATAGATTTAGATGATTGTAAACTAAGAAAGAATGTTTATGTTCTAATCTGTATTAATGATAAATGTTCAGAAGTTCAAAATAAGTATTGTCTCTAAAAGAGGACAGCAAGCTGCTTACCTGCGTCTCAAAAATAAAAGCTTCCAGGCTGTTCATAACTTTTTCTCTTTCCTGCTTGGCCAGGTCTCGGTCCGTCAGATCCTGCAGTCTGAAACGATTGTAAAGACTTGTTTAAACAGATCAAACACAAAGAGAGAGCCGACAGCCTGAACAACATGGCTTTACTTCTTTTTAGAGGAGCTGAGGTCCTCTGCAGAGGGGTCAGCGATGTCATTGATAACGAGCTCCACTTCGATGTCTTCAGAGATCTTGCTTCTTTTCTGAGGTTTTGTCTTCTTCTCTGCCTCAGAGTTTTCAGATTTGTCTCCATCTTTTTCTTCCTTTACCAGGAGAAAGCGAGTTCAGAGCCAAGCAGCTACTGTCTACACAACCTTTGAAAGCTTGACAAACAGATCATACCATAGTGTCAGCTTTGTTCCCTGCCTCCTCCGTCTTCTCCTGACTTTTTTCTTCATTTGTACTTTTCTCTGAATCGTCCTTTGGCTCATTGCTACTTTCATCCTTCTGGGCCTCATTGTTGCCATCCTTCCCAGACTCTGGAGGGATTTCCTCTTCTTCCTAGTCAACCAGGTCAACAGTAAGTTCAATGTTTCAGGACTGTTTCAAAGTCATCTTACACAGAATTGTGGATTTTATTTAACATGTTGAATAAATGACTGAGTTTGTGTGGACTGAGGAACAGATACCTGCACAGGTTCAGTTACATTTGGAGCAGGTTCAGAGGATCCTCCTCCAAACAAGGTGGAGATTGTGTTACCCAGTTCTGAAATACATCAAAATGTTTCAACAGTCAAATAATGAGGTTTCAAAGATCAAACACTAAACAGAAAAAGTTTTAATGCTCCTGTGAGATGAAAAACAGACATTTGATCATTGAATCCAAGTAAACACGCACCTGTCTTTATGTTAGAACATGAACCAAACAACAGCCCAAAAACAATGAGGATAAACAGAAACTACAGATGAAAATCCATCCACAGGTCATGAGATGGATTTTTTTTTTTTCCATGGCGTCTTGTGTGTGAGGAAGCTGAGGTGCGTTTTTATGTTTTGTCACTCCTGGCTTGTTTACATCCAGTTGATGTTCAGAGCTAACGTTAGCTTCTGACAACAAGTTGTCTGGAGCAAAACCAAAGAAACTAAGGAATCACAAACATTACATCTGACTCTGTGCAGAACTTAAAGATAAAAGAGCATGGACTTTTGTTTGTGAAGATTTCCTCTCGTACTGCAGAGGAAAACAAAGCAGGCTGCGAACCAAAGCTACTGTTTGTAAACATCTGACTGAAACTGAGCTCCTGGCATGTAGAAATGTGAGGAAGACGACATTCTAACAAAATCATTCAGTTTGTTAATATTATTTTTAAACTTTAAAGACCATGTAAAATAAAATGTAACATTTTCTTTTTTAAAACATAAATGTCATAAATAGGTTGTAAATGAGTACAAATTCTCTCAACTGTAGATATTTGAATAGTGGAAGATATGATTCAATTTGTGTAACAAGGTATTTGTGTTTCAGGATTTTTTGGGCTTGTATTAAAGGGCGGCCTCGTGATGTCACGCAGCTGCCTTCAGTATAACCCAGCATTGTTTCCTCAGTTACAGGAATGTTCGGAGTCGTGGGCGTGGTTTCAGCTCCTCCAGTGGACACGCCCCCAGCGTTCCAGACCACAGCCAACTGATATTATTTCATTACTTTTAACACATAATTTTATAAGGTTTAAAAGTATTTTTAATTGTTCAAACTTAGCTGGGTGATTATTAACACGTATTTCTGTGGTGTGACAAACTCAGAACACACATTTATTTTTACTTTACACGGTCTTTAAGACATGTCTGGATGAAATCCACAGTGATGAAATGTTGTAGTTGTGCCATCTTTTCTTTTTTGATTTAATAAGTTTTATTGAACGTGACAACAGAAGGTAACAGAAACATTACAAATATAAATTTTTCATGCAGAATTAGCCCACCTCTTCTCCTTATTCATCAAGAAATTMATTCATTTCATTCAAATTAATGCATCCAACAACAATGTCACTTCCTTTTTAATTTAAAACCTTTGAAACTTGAGACAGTTTGGTTTCAAGATTTAACTGTTTAATTTACAAGTTTCTCCTTAAAACCTGTTTATGGTGACGAGAAAAAATAAAGTGAATTTGTATTTTGCAATACAGTTGAACCATTTTCGTTTTTTAAGATCAGATTCAATCAAATCAAATCGAATCGTGTTTAACTGATTCAGAACCTCATGAATCTAAATTGAACTGATTTAAGTCCTAAAACACTGCAGCCCTTTCAGGACCTTGGACAGGTCCTTCAGCCCTTTACACTGTCTAAAGCAGTGATTCCCAACCAGGCGAACATACTGTATTACAGGGGGTATGTGAAAAAATTTCCCAGGTGTGTAAAAAAATGAATAAAAATAGAACTGAGATTTGTAGGGCCCTACGATTTCTGCTGTGGAAATTTTAGTCGGAATCATGGAATTAAAACAAAATGGAATCCAGTATAAAACATAGAATCTCAGGGAATTTGCTTATTTGGGTGAGTTTCTGACATACTTTGGATGCTGCTGTTTTCTACACGTGCCATTACCTGGTTTATTTATTTAATTCACTTTCAAGGCAACATTTTTATCTTTGTTTAATTTGAGT